TAACAGCTCTTGGCTCCTGACTTTGTGCTGGCCCTGTTTGGGAATATTCAAATTCGTTTTTATGCTGCCTTTGATATCTGCTGTGGATTGCTCAGTCCTGCATTACAATTTATGAACATGTGAATAGGAAAGGGATCATCAGAATAAATTGTAAGATACTTCTGAAGTGTATTGATTGCTGGCAAACAATAGCAAACATTTTCTTCTGGAAATACCGTTGTCTAAAAACACTTAAAAATAATGTTGCAGAGGAGATTAAAAGTGTGTATTATGATAGCTAGAATACTGTTAAAATATTTATCTGTAGCTATTCTTAAATTCATTAAAAACTTAATCTGATTCTTATGATACAGTAAGTCTCCAGTGACTAATCCAACAATTACATGCTTCCTAATGAGTAGTCTGAACATCACTGACCTTGCAAATCCTTTGGCTCACAAAAAAGTACTTTATGTTGGTAAATTCTTTTTCCTCAAATTTAAGTGGGAAATATCAATTTTGCCTATGACTATGCAGGAAAAGGAAACAAAAATGAACATTAATACTGAAAGTATCTTGTACAAAAACTACAATAGCTTTGTTAACTAAGACTGAGCATCGTCCTCCCCCACTGTGAGCACATCAGTTAATAATAGTAGGCATTACTCAACTTCATTTGGCATCAGTAAAATTTAAGATGTAATCCAAATATCAGGTTAAATCTTTCCCTAATTTGATGAGACTATAGCTTTAATAGTAGTCCTATTCTTTAATTCACCATAGCCTCTTACATAGTCAGGGAGCAATTAAAAGGTTGGATGTGTTATAAAGCATTCTTTTTAATATATTGATGTTGAAATAACTCTCACAGAGAGAGTTATACAGCTAAGGAGTCTCTTTTTTTTTAGAAAAAAAGAAAAATGTGCTTTTGCCAGAAAGGAGTTATAACAAGGGTATAGCAGCTGTGAGCCTAGCCAGTAGAAATGACCATAGTTGATGATTTCTCGAGTGATATGCCCTGCTCCTTGAAACTCTCACAAATGCACTGTACAAAAAGTATTCGATTTGCTGCCAACAGTGCTTCTCCTTGGTGCTGTGAGAAGCAGTCCAATACATGTAAGTCATGGTGTTCGTTGATCAGCCAGACTGACAAGGTGATGCTTGAGAACTCCCTCTTTTGGAGTGTTGTCTGATCTGCTTAATGGGAGCTTGCAGATTTTTCCCATCTCTACAGAGCCTCCCTGTCACCTGATAAATACTTTAGAGCACATAGTGGACTTATCCTTCTTCCAAGAAGTTGGTGAGTGCAAGATCTCATCCAGTCTGTTCACATTAAACTGTCCTGTAAGGTTTCTGTGCCTGTTTCATATTACAATACAGCCACTGGATCTGTCTCTGCCCTTGTAAGGCAGGCAAGTCCCATGAAAGTAGGTAAGAGAGATAAAAAATTAAATGCTTTTTAGATCTTACTAGAGATTGGGGAATTTTTTTTTTTAATAACAGAAGAATGATTCCAAAAATTCCAGTTGTTCACAGAAGGGTTACATTCTGCCATCTATCCTTGTGCAGAAGTCCCATTGGGGTCTCTCAGCAGGCTACTCCCAAAACACAGATGTTTCTGGCTATTCATTCAGTGTTTTAATTCTGCTGGATGCTTCTTACTCTCCAGCTTTTTGTTACTGGAAGCTTTTTAAAATATAAATGTTTCTTTTTGTTGACAGTGCTGTCTGCAAAGTTATCTAACATAAAAGGTCTGTATAGCAGCCACTGGGGGGTGTGAAACTCACCGAACTAAACTTTTTTGTATAAGCGGAACTTCCAGATCTAACCCAAAAGCCTCTATGTCTGGTTTTTTTCTAGGAACTTTCCCTAGAGTTTGCTAAAGAAAGAAACTCAAGGACTTGCCTAGTAAAAAAAAGAGGGTGTAAATGTATCCATGTCCTTGTAAAATTCAACTTTGAATGAGGAAATACAGTGTGTATTTATACTTTCCTTCTGAGTTCTTGTAAGTTCTCATGCCTTATTGAGAGTCACCTATTTTTATAAGCATGGAAAGGCCCTTAATGTGTCTGCAGGCATCTTAAATTAATCACAGCCAACCTTAGGAACATGGCAGTCCATATGTCACCCACCTCACTTTTTTCATATGTAAAGGGAGATGCCATTTTCCACCACTTCCGTGTGTTTGACATTGTTTTTTGACTTCTAGGAACATCTGTAGAACCCCTGTGTGTGTAGCTTTTGGTAGGGTTACAGAATTTCTTTTTGTTAGATAGCACAACCTATGCTGACCTGGGATTTAGGGCATTGCAACACGCTTCCATTTCACTGCCTATTTTGTATCAATCTGTTGAAGATATACAAGTTCATAACCCGCAATTGACTGTCTGAAGTCAGCTCTAGTTAAATCCCTGAGGCTGAGTAATTGCGGAGGCTTTCAGAATAAAAAGAAACTGAGGGAGGAAGAGGAAAGGAAACCCTTTACCTTCCACCGATTTACTTTATACATACCATCCAATTCAAGTTTAATCTGTTGTGTTGGTTTTTCCTGTATCTAGTAGTGTCTTATAAATATCAAAAGACAAACTGTAATCCTATTACGAGCATCTTGTAATTTTTTTTTTTTTAAGGGTAAGTCTGGAACATGCTATACAAGTACAGAAACACCTTCTGAATTTATCCTTTTGGTTTACTCAACAGTCCAGAAAAACTACGAAGACAATGAAATTAAATTTTCTCCATGTCTATATCCATGTACCTTTATTACATCTTCAGTATGGGGATACATAGCAATTCCATGGAACCCATTGTATTATCCTTTTGAGGCAGCAAAAGTTAGGTTAGTGCTAGAAAGATTCCCTCCTGCAAGAGTATTGGGGGGGAAAATAAATAAATAAATGTGTGTTTTTATATATATATATATATATCTAGGAATATCAGTCATTTATGACTGGAAAGATATCAAAATAATCTAATCCAGTGATATTCCACAGCTCTGCCCATTGCCTGATGATCTATGGTCTTGAGGGAAAATTTACTCATAAAGCAAACAAGTTCTCAAACCCAGTTTGAAAGAAAGAAGGGAACTGAGTTGGCTTGAAATTCAGTAAAGTACTTTTAGAGCCTGAATATCCTACAAGAGTTCTATTAACCAAAACTGATGTGTATGTCCAACATGAGAGGCAACGGATGGAAAATTTTTAAGACACCACAGTGTTTGATCTCTGTAGCTGTAAACAGTTCTCAGTCATTCTATAGACTCTGATAGCACAGGGCCTCTCTACCTTTGCTTGTAAGGGTCCGGTTTTACTTTGATATTGAAGAATTGGTGCAAACTTTTCACTGAAAGGTACCTCTTGTAGCTGTATCAGCTTTCTCTCCACTGCCCTTTGGAAGTATTTGAATCAGAAGATGCTAAGGAAAACTCGGGTTTCTCTAGCTGAAATGACACAGAATAATACACAGCAACCAAACAAAATGCAAGGGACTTGCAGACTGTTACTTCCTGAGCCTGAGCTGGCAATAAATTATAGAGGAAGCAGGTTAAGAAACTTAGTGACCCAAGAGACAACAGAAAAGAGGTCAGGCACTCTGGGTGTCACCTTGGGCAATACGAGATAGGGGAATATATCTGTTTTCCTAAAAATTGCCAGATGACCTGGAGATCTGGAAATGGTGCATATATACTGAGTGGTATGAATGATGCTGCTGCCACACCTGCACCTGACACCGTGGAAGCCTGCTGGGTTCATGATGCATTGTGCTGCTACAGTGTGAGTGGCTAGAACTATTTTTGGACATAACGAAATAAGGATGGAGGTTATTTTTCTCTACTAACTACTTTCTTCAGCCTGTCTGGGTGGTGAGCAGAGAGATTTTCTGACTCCTCTCAGAAGTTTTGGAGGTTCCAAACTTGACTGAGTGTTTCAGTAGCACTAGTAACCTGTTAAGGATAATTCCATGTTATTTGATAGGGATTTTCCCATCCATCCTGCATTCCTATTTTCACAGGAAGCAAGTATTTTATGCCACAAGTGACCCATTAGCCTTTATCACCAGGCAACCACGTTAGTTATCACTATATACATACATAACTATCTCACAGAACGTGCTTTCTATCTATCAGTTCTTCTATCTGCATCATTCACCGTTCACACAAACAGTCCTCCATCTGCCAGGCAGGGTCTGTTCTTCCTATGTGTGATTTGAAAGCACCCCAGGCACCTGCCCGGCTTGCAGATGGTGTTACTCCATCACAGTCTGGAGTCATCACTGACAACACAGCGTATTTCGGGGAGATGAAAGGGGCTGATGAGTTAAGGTCTTACTGAAGACAATCTGAGCCAACCGTAGTTGTTGTGTGTCATTTTTTTGTTGTTGTCATGGCCAAACTGTGCAGGAGGTGAGGTTTTGTTTGTAACAAGTCTCCTATCTACTTGGGAGAGGGGGAGAACACCCACGCTGCAGAACGGAGGGCAGAAATCCCTATTCCACGTTAAAACTACCCCCGCAAAACCTTTCAGTGGTCCGGCGCTAGCTCTTCTAGATGCTGTTTTTCTGCTTGAGTGTTTTTGGTTTTTTTTTTTTTTTTTTTTTTTTTTAGACTTTTTTTTCCCCTTTTGGTGCTATTTTTTGCGAACGAAAAAAAAAAAAAAAGTGTTAACAGGCTGAAGAGGCACCAGAAGGGAAATACGCCCGTGCTCGAAACTAAGTTAAACTTCGAGGGGTGTGCGAGCAATCCTTCCCGCGAGTGGGGGGGTCGAGCGGCGCCCCGAGCGCTCCCGGGGCGCGGTGGGTCCCCGCCGGCCGGGAGGCGAAGGGAGGAGCGGGGGAGCGCCGGGGCAGTGCCGCCGCTCCTCCCTTCGCCCTCCGGCACCGCGCCCGGGCACCGCGGGGTGTGAGCCTCGGCTTTCTCCCAGAAACTCCGGGAAGAAGAGAGGGGGATGCTGCCCTTGCGGCGGTGCGGCGTGGCGGGGTGTGGGGGACGGGGGAAAAGAAGACCTCGCAAGCGGTGCTCTTACCCCCTCCATTTTTGTAGCAGAGGTATGGGAATCGCCAGACGTTGGCCAGGTCCACGGCGAAGCCGATGACGGAGAGGAGGAAGTCGATTTTCTTGCCCCAGGTCTCCCTGTCCTGGGCGCCGTAGCGCGGCGCGGGGGCGGCGGGCAGGAGGCTGCTGCTGGTGTACTGCACCCCGTTGTGCTCCTTCACCAGGATCAGCTCCACGTCCTTCTTCGGGGGCGGCGGCCCCGCGCGGTCCGGCAAGGGGGCCACCACCGACACTTTGCGCTCGGGCTGGACCTGTTTGTTCATCCTCGCCTTAAACATCCAGGGAGAGAGAGAGCGGGGCTGAGGAGGGGGCGCGGGCGCGCAGATAACGGAAGTGCCTTCCCGCTGGAGGCGACTCCGCGCTCAGCCCGGCGGTGTCAGCGCGGCGGGAGCGAGGCACGGCCGTAATAAGAGCCATGCAAATGAGGCGGGAGAGGGGGGACCGGGGCGCCCCCGGGGAGCGGGGCTGCCCGCGCCCTTCCTCCGCCGGGGAGCGGCGGAGCCGCGCCCGCACCTGGGGCGGCACCGGCGGCTCCCGACCCCGCACCGGCCGGCGGTTCCCCCCGAGCTGGACGGTTCGGGTTCGTCCTGCCGCTGACTGCGGAGTGGCTCCTTCCCGCCAGCCAAAACACGCATCCCCGGGCAGGCAAGCTGGAAGTGCCGCTAGCAGGCAACAGGTAGAGCCTGTTTGGATCGCCCGCTTCCCTCCTTTGGCGGCTGAGCTACGCTACAGCGGCTCTGCCCTGTCCGCTAGAGTGGCTTTAGCTAAACAGTAGAATTTGGCTTTTGGTATCAGAACGCGGTAGGGTGCAGGCTGAATAGCAGAGCCGGACACTGCTAATGCTCCTATGCTAGGACTGATGGATGGCCAGCTTTTTCTGTCATGGCAAGCGTGAGGCTGGTAGAATTCAGTTGTCAGGTTGAGGTATTTGTAGGGCATTAACTATTTGCCGCTATTTCAAATGGAATGTGAGTCTTTTACATGTAAACAATTATCTGGCAGAGCAGTGATTGGTGCCAAAAGTTGGCAATACAGCAAATACAGCTGCAGAAAGGGGTTTTCGGGAACTCTTCTTATTACAGCTGTGAATGGTAACTCTACATTCAGTGTCAGTTAGGGGAATAAAATTTGAACACAAAAGGCAGAAACTGGCTTCCTCTCTCCAACACTAAGCAGCTTCCCTTCTGCTTGGCATCAGTGAGAACAGGTCAAACTGCAGAGTATTCTCAGAGGTGTTGCAGCCTACCATTCTATTCACTCTGCTGGGATTGATAATGCAGTGTTGTAATATATAAAGAGGCACTAGTCAGAGTTCACAAGGAATATGAGATTTCTTTGCAAACTCGTAATGTTAAAAAGAATCCCAACTCAGAATTAAAGTTCACTTATTGGCATCCTCCCCTCCTCTCTTTAGGCCACAGATTACCAAGATGCTAGTAAGACAGCAGTTGAAAATTTGGGGGTGTTCTGCCTTCACAAAAAACACTTGGTTCAAGCTCCAGGGTCTCGGTGAAGTATTTGAGCAGTGGCTATGCTGCTTCAGAGCAATGGGGTGCTTAGAACATACAGCTCGTGTGCTCTCCTTTGGTTGCTCTGTGATTTCCTGTGCTCATCTTCTTCAAATACACCACATAAGACTTTTCTCTCTATTCTTTTTGACACTTCATGCCATACGTGCTGCTGGTCCTTCCCCTGTCCATAGTCATGGACGTGCTCTGCCCTATAAACACTTGCTGTTTGCCTGTGCAGCACAGCCCATGGGACCATGCTCATGTGCAGCTACACTGCTGCCCAGTCCTCACACCATCCCTCACTCCTTCCACCACATCCATCCAACACATACCCATGTTAGGTGCAGTGCCCCCAAATATGCCCCTGCTCCCCTGCATTTAAGTGACCCTGCACACCCATTCTCCCACAGCAAATAAAGGACATGTTCTGTTTCGGACAAAAAGGGAGCCCCTGCTCTGCAGAGCCCTAAAACCATCTTGATGACAGACTCACCAGGTAGCACTGAGGATGTCTCTGTCCCATTCCCTGGTACCTATGGGGAGGGGAAGATGGCTGAAGGGGGATTCCTCCTTCTTGGTTCCACCACTCAGGGACTGCAGTCTCTCTGGGAGCTGAAGCTGTAGCCTAGCCAGTAAGGAGCTTTTTAAACCTGGTTCCCCTCTCTGCACGTGACTATTACTGCCTTAATGATCTGCACGGACTTTCTACGCTAGACAACAGCACTCCTGTATTGCTTCTGGAAAAATAAGGCCTTGCTAAGGAACACCCTTTTCCCCACAAGGTCTCAATTAGCTGAGCCTGATCATGATGTCTATGGTGGGAGGAATCTAGAAAGCCCCCGCTTATTTCCTAAGAGAATTAAGTCACTCTGCATATATATATATATATACATATATATATATGTGCCTTTAGTTCTTGCATGGAAAGTGTGCACAATCTGGTTAATGCAATATCTGCTGCACCCTCAAGGTAAGAAAGTCCTCAATTGGATTTTATAGAAAAGTTGCTTAATCTTGAATCTGTCTGGATCTTGTTATGCCTAATGGAGGCTGACAGTGGGTGAAGTTGAAGTCAGAGAAGGGAATATTGTATTTAGAAACCTCAATGTAGCCAGGCAAGATGGCAGGGTGTTAGTGATATTCCACTGTCAGCTGGGAAAAAGGCTGTAATTTACTTCAGAAAATAGTCATTAATTATTCAAATTTCTGTCTATCATTCTCTCAATATATTGGAGAATATACTATATGCTCTAACAGTAAGCTGAGGTTGTCACTCTCACACATTATGTGAGAGTGTCTTCATATGTCTATGAAGAAAAAAACCTCCAATGAACAACAATTTAGTTTGTGCTTCCAGATCTCCATTTGCTGGTGGTGTGAAGGCTTACTGTGCTTGTTGGCAGCAGGGTTTGAATTCTCCAGCTTGGCAGCACAGCCCTCTGCCACTGATATTACAGAACTACAGAGGCTGGCTATTGTCCTTCCTGTGAACCATCTTTTGAGAAGGGTAGTATCAAACAGTGTTTAAATATGCTGAAACTTGCACTTTACAGTTGGTGAATCTGAAAGAGTCTTGCTTCATGTGATGTCTGATACACTTGGTGCAAGAGCTTGACAGCTGAGCCAAACAAAACAGTGACTGAGCAGGGATATGATTGCTTTATAAATAAAATGAGGTAAATGTCAGGAGAAAAAAATACACTACCACCATTTAAACCAAAAGACAACCGAATCATGATAAATTTAGTTGGGAAGTGAGAAAAATTCTAACTGTAAAAGCAGTGAATGCAGTGGGAACCAGAGACCTGGAGTTTAGGATATTGTTTTATGAGTTAGGATGTTGTTGTATGACGAAGTTGCTTGTGAGAACTGGGATTTGGGCTTGCAGACTCAGGACAACAGTTTCTTATTCTAATCTAAGATATAATGAAAAGAGGAAAAGAGGCAAGGGTTATATACACCAAGTATTTAATTTCACATCCTGGTACGTCCACAGAAACTCTGAGCTCATTTGGGCCTTGGGGCTCACCAGCACTAAAAGAATAAACATTTTTCAAACAAAGTGCAGAAGTTGAATAAAGTTAAGTTTGGTTGTTCTGTGATAGAAGAAACTTGGGGAATAGCCAGTTGCTGTGGGAACTGGGAACAAAGCCTTCTGACCAAATCAATGTTAAAACAATTTCACAGTGATAGGAACATGGCATTGGCAGGGGTGCCCATCTTTCTAGGTTAGCAGGTAAAGGATACCATGCTGTAGACCATATTGGACATCTTTTGATGACAGTCAGTATATCAACTCCAGTTACTCAGAATTTTACGAGTGGGTTGGGCAGGTTTGCTTCATAGTGTCTCTAAAATCATACCATTCCAAATCTAGTGTTTACTCAGTATTTAAAAGCCCTGTACTGTATTGTTAGTAGGCTGTTGTCATAGTATCTCTTCCTTAGAGCTAAAGAGAGGCCTTTCTCTCACTGAGAAGGGCCTGTTTGGGTTGGTCCAACCCTGCATTTTGACAGTGCCTGTCATGCTACAAACTGTCTTCAGACTGAAAATAAATATTACAAAATCACTCCACAGTATTACAGAATACTCCACAGTATTCTGTTTATGCAAACATGCCAAGTTGTAGGGGAAGACAAGGCCTCTCCCTGTTTCTTGTGATAGTAACATTTGTATCTTCCTTATCAAGTTGCTTGAGGTTGTCACAAATACACACCTCCAAAGCTAATTTTACCCGTTACCTCTGGCATCAGATGACTTTCTTCATGAGGGCCACCAGTGTCATCCCAGAAAGCTATCCCATGACATCTTTATCATTTTATAACATATTTTATAACAGTCATAACATGACTGTGCATGAGATGCACTCCATCCTCCTCCCTTCCTCTTGACTTGTGCAGCGTCCAAAAGGGAGCCAGGGCACACGCTGATCTAGTCTCTGCTTTGATCTCTGCTTTGAACAGTAAGAGAACCAGTACACTTGGGTTCTCTGTAGTGCTTCCTCCAAGTTCACCATGTCATGTCTGTGTAATCTTTCTTTTTTTCTGGTTGAAATAAACCTTTCCTGAGGAAACATGGCCTAGGTTTCAGATGGAGTCTTATGAACCTTTAGTGAAATAGTAATGATTCCCAGGACTATCAGACAAGACTTTAGTGAGAAGGGGATCTCACTTGCCTTTTTCAAACCTGTATTAAATGTTTGTCCATAGATAAGTTATAAACACCCAAGTCATTCTGCTCCATCACTTCTTTAATTCTTAAAGGCCAGGTTTAACATTTTACTCCGTCTGCTTCCATTAATTTCTGTTATGCTATGTTTCCTTTTTTTTCCCCATGTGAGTCCCATTCTTCACTAATTCAATATTGCCTGCCAACTTCATCATCTCCAAATTTCATTATCAAACACAAACTTTTGGGTGCATATTATTAATGCAAATATTTAATAAGATCATTCCCGTTAACAGATCTTTCAGGATGGGTAATCTCACTCCAAGCCTGTAATTATCCTTATAGCACAACATAGTATTATATCCTCTTTAGTCAGTTCTTTTCCTGTCTTAACAATTCTATTTATCTCCACGTCTTCTGCTCAGACTAACAATTACAAGTGTCATTGTAGCAGCTACTTTTCTAAAGTCGTGATAGATTAATATCTACCACGTTTTCCTTGCTTTTATAAAAGGCAGTTATCAGAACAAGGTGCCAGATTAATCTGTCTTCCTTTGGGAAGCTCGTTTCACATGTAGGAGTTTTCTGTGCTTATGCACCTATGGATAGAATTTGTGAAAAGTGTTTTAACTTGGGAGCTCTGTGTGGTCATAGGATTATTTGCATCTCCCTAAATCAAGGCTTTTGCAAGACACCTTGTAATTTCAGTCATTTGCAGACTCAGAACAAGACACCTTG